ATTCATTGTGCTCATCGTGAGACGATGACGTGTTGCTGATTCGTCCATATTTCTAGATAATATTATTTATCACCTATACGTTAAGTGTTTTTTTAGGACATCTGTGTGTGTGTGTGTGTTTGTTCATAACGCGTCGATTTCGTTTCGTATAAACACCATACAATATCATAATCGGTTCATCGATTTCCGTGTAAACGTCGCCGGTCGTTAAGCAGAATTTTCGTCGTTTCCACTTGAAGTTTTCCCGGTAGGTATAATGTGACAGTGTAGTAGACATATATTTTTTTCTACGAGGGCCTTTTAGTTTCATATTAAAGTATATTATATGAATCGTTGGGCAAACGTGAATGCGATTCCCAAGTATTTAAAAAACAAATTTATATTTATTTCATCACGTTCAGTTTAAATAAGTTGTCAACTTCCAGAGGACGCCACTCCGCCCATTTTTAAGGAGTAAAGTTTTACAAAATCTTAACTTAAAGGTTAAACTGCGATGTGTAATTATTAGTTAAATAATTAGGACTATTTTTTGGTAGTCGATTAATGAATTCATAGAGATTAAAAAAAAACAATCTTGAGAAAAAATTATCTCCGCTTTCTTGATTCAGATCTTCCAAAAATTGTCTGACAGGACTTATATTATCTGAAAGTTAAGAACTTTATCTGTGTCACCTCGACGAGATTTTTATAATAATTTGATTATCAAAACCAAAATAAGTGCTTAATATATTTTTTAAAAAACTTTTTAACCTTTATTTAAATAAAAAACGAATTGCGTTATTAAAAAAACTCGTCGAGACAACACAGATAAAGCTCTTAAATTTCATATGATATAAGTGGTTTTACTGTAAGACAATTTTTGGAAGAGCTGTATTAAGGAAGCCAACTTATGTTATTATACCATACAAATGCATGGTGGCGTTCTCTTATTATTTTTTAATAAGAAAAAACCTATAGATACAATTACGTTTGTCCAGTTAGTTAACAATCCCCCCTCTCATCCTATATCGTGTTCAGGAACGTTTCTGTGTCGCGTTGTGTTATGTTGTGGTTGATAAGAAGCAATCAATGAAATCATGTTGTTTAGAAGTATCGAAATTCGAGTGTGCGGTTAAAGATGATCTACTGCAACAGTTGTGGCTTTATAGTTTTACATTTACTATTTCATCTGTCGGTTGGTCTTTGAGGAAATTAATTGGTACATCGTCGTTTTATGAGAGTGATACCTACTGGGAAACAGTTTAGTCTAAAACCCCTCTGATTTTGTCCAATACACTCTTAAACATCCGACTGAAATATAAAAAAAGAATATTATGTACTTCCAAGTTCTACCTAAAAAGAACCATTTAGTAACTTGTCTGTAGATAATTATATATGTAACCCACTCATTTGGCATTATTAATTCTACACTAAAATGTTCTATGTACACGGATGACGCGACGGTCTTAACCCTTAGGTATACAATCCTCTATCTTAGTTATACGGGTCATACACACAACTTTAAGCAGGGGCTTAACATTTTCAAGAATATACACCATGTCAAGTCCGTTTTTGGACATATTATTCTCTGCGTTGTTGTTGTGTACCTGTGTACTTAAGTAGCAAGATATACCTACGGTTACACGTACAACAATCCGCACTTGTCGCGTCTTTACCTTTTACCTAATATTTATATTATATGATATTATGCGAGTACAATTTTTTTTGTCCCGGATAAATCTGTTTTCAAATTAAATAAGTATTGTCTTCATTTATCGAGTTCAGAAAAACCAGCTCTCGTTGATGTAACGATTAATATTTGGATTTGTCATAGTTTGTGTACATGCAATGTATTTTGGCCTATATAATAAGTGCTATAGTAAACAAGGATGATCTCGGTATCGCCATTGATTTTAACAATGCTATCGCTATTTGAAAACGATTAGGGTTGTATTATATTTTTTCAATGGATTACGATTGGATTATAATATTATCGTCATTTCACTTTTTATTGACAACGGCCGAATGGTTATTGTTTTTTTTATTACTATTAATCGATTAGATTAAACAATTAGACTTACGTTATCGACACAAAACGATTGAGTCATTTTTTCCCAAAGGCCCACCAAGTCAGTTTGTCGCATGCTCGTTCGGTGTATACAACATAATATTATTTTGTTTTTTTTAGTGTGATCGATTTTTGGCGTTTTTTCTTGAAAATATATTTCGTGTATAAATACAACGGACAGTATTAGTAATATCATAGAAACGGCGAAGGTTAAAGATTTAAAATCGTACCTATCCGGGTTGCATTTATGTTTTATCTTCCAAAACTAATGTGTAAAATCTAATAATAATAATAATATACTTGTTAGCCGACAGCCGTCGTTATTCGTACGCGTCTAGCCGGCCAGAGCATGTGGTTTGGTTTTTTTTGTTTCACGCGGAATATTTTTTATTAGTTATATTTTACATCGGTAGAGGACGTTGTGGTTTTTTATTGTTTTTTTACCACACCGGTAACCAGCTGCAGCTGTTATCACAGAGTCCACATGAATTATTATTCTCTCAATGCCGTTCTGTTATCAGGACTGTTGTCGTCGATAATTGATAAGTCGATCTACAGTCGTAACAGCTTCAGCTTCAGCTGTAGTTTTTGATTTTAGCTGAATGTTTTCATGTTCGTTTTCATTCCAAAGAAATAAAAATTTAAAAACCCCGGTCACCGTTGTTTGTGGAAATGGTATACTCGATTTTGGGTTTTCGTTAAAATAATAGTAATAACAAAAAAAAAACAAAAAAATGTAAACGGTTTGTATGAACGAGGGAATGTATTGCGCGTTTAAAAAGTAAGTGTGTTGAGGCATCTGCTGGCGGAAAAGCCCGTGTGTTTTCTTTTCGCGACAATTAATTACACGCTTTGTTTATTTAGAAACGTTCTTGAGCATTTACTCTGTCGTCTATTTTTTTTAATTGTTATCATTATTCTTATGGTTTTCTACCGCCGCCACCACCACTTGCTGTGTGTGCATACCTAATAGCAAATGTAAACACTTGTATAACATTTTGCTTTTGGGCTAGAGTAGTGCCTCTCGGACGTGTAAAATAAAATGTTTTAATCGTCGGCCAATTAATATGCGGTATAGTATAAAAAAAAAAATACATCTTCTGAAAAACCTACAGAAATTATGCTAACGGAGACGGCTATCGGCGGGTTAGACGGTCCGATCGAACGGTTTTACACGCCGATGAAGGTGGTCATCTATAAGGACTACTATGGCGGCGAGTACTGTGTCCGATACCACGCGCTGCCAGGTTAGATTTTCTTTACACATATATAATAACGTATTTGTGATGTCCTTATATTATTGTTGCTAAAAACAAGTTTTTGTACATAACACAACTTGTAAAATACACGTAAGAAAGCTACTTTTAAACCTACACATAGGTATGGTATACCAGTGCCGTCTCAAATGGTTGCCCATTATTGGGACTATGTAGTAAAATTCGCAGAGGGATGTAGTCCAAGCAATTATTGATTACAACAGTTAAAATATAATTTTATTTTTTATAATCTTTGTGATACAAAGTAATTTTAATTTTACAATAATGTAATATACTAAATGTGGAAAGTGAAAAAGGCCTCTTGTCGGCAAAAATTTCGATTGATTTCAAGATAAACACCAAGGATCATATTCAAAGTGCAAATCAGCTAAAAGGATATACCAGGTCACAAATTGTTAAAAAATATATCAAGATTTAAAAAATAGCACTAACTCGATTTTGGAAAATGCCAATTAGAGATCCATTTTTCTTTCCGTATCACATACCTTTATTAAAAATAACAAAGCACTTCTCTTAAACTGATTATGTTACAATTAGTTGTTTTAAACATTTTTAGATAGTAACCTACTTTTTAATAAATTATAATTCAAATGAACGACTGGTTGATTACTGGCTTTGAGCTAGTACTTCTTGAGATAAAAATAATTTTAAATAAACGTAGGTGGGTCAAATAGTGTATGTGAAGATATAAATAATGTAACTCAATACTTCTATTTTTTTGCTTTAACTTAAGAATTTAAAGTTAGTTTTAGATGGGAGTTTAAAACTATTGGAAAATTATGTTCATTTTATGTCTAAAAAGATTACAAATAGAAGAATTTTAAATTTTTTTAGGGAAATAGGCTGGGTCAAATGTTAGTGAATCTTTCAGAATAGGCTTTGTCGGTATTTGTATTAATTATATTTTCATCGTAATCTATAAGCACAATATAATTTCTTATTTGATTAGAAATATAATATTGTGCTTGTATAATTTCACTTGTGTTCGGTTTGTCAACCATTTCTATACGTAAATATATATATACTTATAATTGACAGTGGTTCCATTAATGTAAATTATCTACTTAACAATTATCTACATTTTGAACAATACTTTAGCTTCTTAATGTATTAGGCCAAATAACTATTAGTAGTATATTATCTATACAAATTAAAATGGTAAGTTATTTAGACTTTACCTTAAAAACTTTTATGCATGCAAATTACTTTTATTTTTTTTTATAGTACATATAATCTGTATGACCATACGTAAAAGGTAATTTTGTTGATATTTTGCTACACTTTGTATACATCGTTTATTATTAATCTATTAATTTTGTATCTGTTTCTTTCCACATGGCATTATATTAATTTGAACAATATAAATTATTGTTGGTTCCTACTTACTTATCTATTATAGCCTATAATCTTAGTACTACTAATTTTTTTAATACACCTAATAATAATCAAGAATTTTGTTAAAACAATTTAACAGTTTAAGTCGAGTTTAGGTATTGTTCTTTGTATTACTAATGTTTGTAATTTAATACTCGATAATGAAATGGATTAAAAATTTCCACAGCTATATATATCTATAAACTAATATTAAAATGGGCGATTGTTAAGTTTTCAGTACTTTGTGTATGTTTTTATTATTATTGAAAACCTTTTACTTACACCACAAATGTATGTTTTAGATTCAGGTACGGATGGAGAGAGTCAGAGCAGCAGCAAAGAGCGGCTTAGCGAAAGAAAAATGCATAAGCCACCACCTATTGCCACCATTACGTACAAGGTAAAAAAGCTAAATAGGTAGATAGAAAAAAAAAATGTTGGTTATCGCCAACTCGGCATAATATAATATACTTAACTAAAATTTGTTTTAGGTTGAAGCGTCAGATACTCTGGCTTCAGTAGCGGCCAGGTTCGACACAACCCCGTCAGAGTTGGCTATACTGAACAGACTTCCATCGCGCACAGTATTTCCTGGACAAATTATCCGTGTTCCAGATAAGAAACGATCGTCAGTGTCTGAATCCGATGCATCACAAGTACATAAACATTTTCATGAACTTTTTTCTACTTATTGTTATTTTCATCATCAAACATCATTAATGTTTTACAGGGTGCTCTTAGCAATCTCGATGTATCCGAAACAAACAGTTCCACGTCAGCAGAAGGAGAGAGTAAATCGGGACTATCGACTGGAAATGATAGTAGAGATGCCAGTAACAGAAGAGAAGACGGTGAGATATTTTAAAAACAGTTGAATAGATTTATGTACATAATTGGTACTGTCAATACAATAATGTATAAGCTAGAAATTTGTCAATTTGAGAAAAATTACTTTAAACGCTTGATCCACGCATTAGTGCGATAAGTATTGTTTGATATTTTTAAATAATTACCCAGTTATGGCACCTACAATTTCGAAAAAATAATGAAAATCCTAAATTGGTGATAAAAATATTGTAATGATAGTACTGATAATTTTGGTATCCAAAATTATGTATACATTTAAATCTAAACAACATCTGAACATTATACAAAAATGAAAATACTATGTTGACTAATCTATTTAAGTTTTAAAGTTTTGAAACTAATTATCTTAGAATGCAACTTTAGTTTTGAAGACAATTACATTTTTTAAAATTTTTACCTTTTATCGGTCCTGAGAAATAATTATTTTTAATGTGCCCATCAGCCAGTAATGTATATAGCAATATTCCTTGTTTCGATTACCGTTCGAAAAATATTTTCAAGGTGCACCCTATCCCCTCCACACCCCAAAAAACCCTACTAAAACGTCTTAAAATTAAAAATATTTATTAAAAGTTTCCAAAAATTAGCTAAAAACATAATTTTTATTAGTTTCAAATTTTCATAATTAGTACCTTGTTATTAATTGTTACCTTACCAAAAATAAAACGATTGTTGTATAATTAATTTCCAGTGATAATTGTTATAATTATAATTGTGATGTTATAATTGCTAAATATTTAATTGCCAAAATTGGTTTTCTGAGCATACCATGCAGATTATAAATAAATGCCCTAAACTACATTATAAAAACGTTCATATAGACACATGATATTGCTAGTCAGAATAAACGTGATAAAATACTGGGGAAGTATGTGATATCGTGCTAGCTCACTGTTGATATCTTATTCTTAAGTGCATTTAAAGCTTGTACAACAGTTCAACCATTAAAAAAAAACTGTTATCTTGTGTTGTTTGCTTTGATATTATACCAATAGAATGATTATTAACTTGTAAGCGACTACATCAAACTGTGTTATTATTTGTTTTTAAATAACGGTAGTTTCTTGTTAATTATTCAAACTCAGTTTCGCATTAAAGACAAATGTTACTATTGTGTATTAGTTTATAAATAATAGTATTTTTTTACATTTTATTGCAGTTTCTTTAGTAAGGTTTATGTTTCTGCATTTTAAACTACCAAAATATTCAGATCTTATTATTCATTACTATTTTTTTTGTAGTTTTAAATTTTTGTAATTTGTATAAAAATGAAAGGCATAGTAATGTCTCCGAAAGATCTTTTACAGCACGAAGGTTACATACACTTACAATTAGGTATTTTGTTGTCACAATAAGCACTAAACATTACGAAGGCTAATGAAATATTTATGAATTGAAATCAAAGTAATAATTGTTCATTAATTTTCTTGCAGATATGTTGGACTCTTTGCGTCCATCATCGCCGAAGTCTGGACATCAGGAACACACGGGTTCCTCGGCGTCGCCTTCATCAGGCAGGTCGCACACGCGCGGTGTAGAAAGGTTCCTCAAAATTAATGTTCGACACATCACAGATGGACAAGTAAAATATAAACTAAAAACATAAATCAAAAGTCATGTATGTAAAAATAATCCTTGTGTTTGCTGTACAGGGTGTCGTTGGCGGCGTGTTACTGGTCACTCCTAATGCGGTCATGTTTGATCCAAACGTTTCTGACCCATTGGTAATTGAACATGGACCTGAATCTTACGGTGTTATAGCTCCCATGGAGTTTGTAGTGAATGCGGCCATATATTATGATATAGCGCACATGAGAGTCGCAGGACCGTATCAAGCTTCAGGGTATGCAATTTATATTATATTCGTGGGTTTGTGCAACTTTTCAAACATAAGGGGTTTAGTTAAATATTAAAATATATTAAAATTGACTACTCATTTTCTACTGGTTAGAATCGGATAATATGATATCAACGTTTATTGAAATAGATTGTTCAAAATGGACAAATGGTATCAAATGCCTATCACATGTTAATTTAGATTTTTAAAAATAAATTAAAATAATAATAATTTTTTTTTTGTCAGTTTTACTATAGTTTCATTAATTATTTTTTGTATACTTATAATTCTGGTACAATTATAGACATGAAAATGATAATATCACAAAGCCTGCAATTTACCACTTGCCGCCCGCTCCAAAACCAGAAATACCGGAAGATGGCGAGCACAAGTCGTCAGCAATGTTAACTACTATGCAAACAGATTCATTGGACAGCGCAACACTGGATTTGCAAATATCTCCTGGAGGTAGAACCGATTCGCTTTTAGCTAAAGACGAAACTTTTCCTGAACTAAGGTAATATTAGAGGTAATAATATAATATATGAAAATTTCTAATTTATAAACTTGCAACCACAGATCGTCCACGGAAGACGAAGAAGAAGACGGAAGTGTGTGTTCGTGCAATGCTCGGCGAAATGATGGAGCTGCTTTTCCTAAAGCGTTTGATCGTGATTTAGTAACACCAAGTCCTATGAACAGGTCCAGCGATGCTTTGGTATGTTACGCTCTTACTTAATATATTATTTATAGAGATAACAGTTTTAAAAATATATTTGCTGGTTGCAGAAGAAATCGGATAAAGAATCGGTCACTGAAAATAGTGGCAATGAAGACGATAGGCCGTTGTCTTCATTGTCTTCAGAACAGGACGGTATTTGTAGTATACGTAATATGGAACAGCGGAGGCAGTCATCAATTGATCAACACTGGGCTATGCCGAATAAAGTTAGATCTTTGGACGATGAACCTCCAGTACACCATGAGGAACAACGTACGTATTACATTTTATTTAATATTGATGATTTTATTAAAAAAAAAAAAAATGTTAATTTGTATTACAATTCATTACCAATAGCGGCTGCTGATGAGTCTGAGCCATCCACTTACCTAGTAAAGCAGTCTTGTCACGATTCGGGTATTGATATCAGAGATCCCCCAGTATTGTCTGTCCCTCGTAAGACAGTTTATTCCGATGCAGATATACTTTTGTCGGAATCGGACTTTATTCCACCAGTGCCTGTTGTGCCGCTATCGACCGATCACCTCAGCGATGCGGTTAATCTGCGTAAAAAGAAATCTACATCTGTCTCATTTAGCCTAGAAGATTCTAAAGAACAAGACACTTCTGCTCCTGTTGAAGTGCAGCAAAAGGTCGATGAACAAGCTGACAAACAAGCTCAAGACACCAAAAAAAATAAGGTACCTATAATTTCATTTCAGCAGTGTTGGGCAAAATTAAAATAAAATAATAAATATAAAAAAAAATTTTTCTTCTACAAATAATAATCAGTAATTTATTTTTTTTGAATATAAGCATTTGTACCTTGATAAATAATAGATAATCTGTTTAGGTATTTATTTTTTTTTGAAACAAAATATTATTATCTTAGTTGGCTTCAAATTTATTTAAAAAAAGTTTTTCAGCCGAGTCTGCAACCACGAAAGAGCATTTTCATGTCTCGTTGAAGTACCGAATAAATTTAGAGTATATTAACAAGCTAGTATCTAAGGTGGCTAGTAAACATATCAAATTTCTGGCTAATATTTTAGTGTTTTCATAATATCTGGCCCAAAAATATTCATAGGAAATATGACCTGTTAAATTACATTAAATTTATTTTTTAGTTATAGTTTGATCGTTGTGAATACAACATATCTCTCACCCCAATCTATTACCCCTACTCCCACCCCTTATCTCTTACTCCTATCTCGCCCCCTATCACGTACCCCTTATCTCCCACCATATCTCTCACCCCCTATCTCCTACCCTTATCTTTTACCTCAACCTCATCCCATCTCCTTTCCCACCCCCAACCCCATCTCCGTGTGGTAACGCTTTTTTAATAACACTAAGTAAAAAACACTTTTTTCGGTTATGTGCCAGAGCTAAGACATGAAAATGTCAAAAACATTAAATAATTTTGTTTATCTTAAGTAATATTAAATTGTATTGATAATTTATTAATATTAAATGTATTTAAAATAAATTCCTCAATTTAAAAATGAAATCAAAGTTTCAAGGTTAAACTATGTTGGGTTTTATTTCGAACTTATTTTATGTTACTATAAAACCTAGCAGATTATTTCGAAAATATTATAGGAAGTAAGAAAAAAGTTATTTAAAATAATAAGATTTTTCAAAAAAATAATAAATAACAAATAGTTTGAAAAAAAATAATTGAACAATAAGTATTTTTTTTGTAAATAATCAAATATTAAATTATTAAAAAAAAAATTGTTTTTATTTATTGCTTTGTCTAGATAATAAAATCATTCGATTAATGTCCAACTCTGAATTTTAGTAGAAATATAAACATCTATTGGTATTAATTAAATAAATTACAATTGTAATTGGATTTAATTTTTCAACAGATGTTAAAAAGACTTTCATATCCTTTGGCTTGGATGGAAGGATTCACGGGCGATAAAGATTCTGAAAAAGAAGGTTCTTCAGTACCGTCTTCTGCCGAGTCGTCTCATCTATCCCATTCATCAAGCGTATTTTCCAAAGTGTTCTCAAGGTAAATTTTAATTACATTGAATACATTTAATTCAATTTTTACACTTCACTTTTATATTTTATCCAAGTTTTTAAGCATATTTTATATGTATTAAATAACAGTCGTAGTACACAATCATTTTCTACTTAAAATTTAAATATCGCACTTCTGTAAATAAAAAGCGTACTAGGATAAACACACAATTTTTAATATTTTATTGGTTAGCGTTTCTGTATAAGAAGCTTACATAGTTTCACATTTTATTGTAAGTATTATTTTAGGCTTAACAATTACGTTTAAACTATTTTTACCAGTATTCTATTATTTTTATTTGAATTATAAGAACAAAATATTACTAGGTCTTAAACAAAACATAAGCTCCAATAAACATAAAATTAATTTTTCTTTCAAACATCTAAGTTAAAAATAATAAAATAAACTGATAAGAATATTCAAGTAGCAAAAATAACTTGTCTGCTTAAAAAAATAATTGCAATTGATATTTTTGCTTTTTATTTTTATTACTTATCTTATTTTAATATCAACCAAAATAGGTTTATTTATATTTTAGAAATAATTACTCATTGAAAAATATATAATGTCTTAATTATGTTTTATTTCCGTTCTATACTTCTGAATTTTTTTTTTTTATTATTAGTTTTGTAAATAATAGTGTTTTGAATTCAATGACAAGTTACTGAAATACGAATTTAGGAATTACACTACACTAATTGCTAAAAACTATTTACTATTTTTTACAGCAATACAGAAAAAAGTTATCTCTATACTAAAACTAATACTAAATTTGTAAAAAAATTAAATGTTCACTTGAATGCGTAAAAATGATTTATTCCGAAAAATTGGACATTATTTACTTTTATTTTTAGTTTAATTTCTCAAAATATGATCAATAAGCTATGTACAGGAAATATTGAGTTATCTAGTAAAATTTTAAAAACATTTTTTAAGTGCTTATAAAATTGGTTGCATTATTTGTATTTTGGATGTTTAGCATTTTAAGTTATTTAATTTTTTCAATTAAAGAGAATGAGTTAAATTTGGAAAATAGGGAATTAAATTGAAACTCCTAAACTGTTATTATTGTCGAGAAAAGAATTGAGTGTGAACTGCGAAAAGAATTACTCGAATAGTGTTGTTGTATGAGGAATGCGATGATAATGTTTATGTTATTGCCAAGCTCACCGATAAACATGGTGACTGATTTCGGTTCGGGTCTGTTCCTAATGAAAACGCCGAGTGAGGAGAGTGGGCGATTCCAGTTTCCACCGGCTCAGGATTGTTCGCCCGCTCCGTCTTCGGCCACCCCGCCTAAACGGGAAGGTCTCGCTAGCTTCTCGCCATCGTCAATTATAAACAGCGTGGGGTAAGTGGTACACACATTGTACCCTTAAGTGTCTGTCGTTGATATTATATTATGGTGATGTTATGTGTGTCCCTTATCCTGCTACCAAAATCCACCTTAAAAACATTGGAATTATAGCGTGCAAGTTCTATGCATAAATCGTATACATATAATTTTCTTGTTACTGCATATTTAGTTTATTTTTATTTTAAAATATTTTCCGTGTTTATGATTTACGCTGCCATATTACTATTATAATGTATTTTTAGTTAGTATTTTATTTTTTTGTATAATTTTATTTATTAAATTGGTTTTTTTTTTTGTGACTATGCTTACTTTTTTTTAATTATTTCAGTTGTAAAGTTTGAGTAGTTTCTGTATTAAAAACAATGTACATACATACTTTTATAAAACAAAAAAACTGCATGAACATATTTTATTATTCAAGTTGTTCATGATTGGTTTTAATTCCAGGCGTTCATCTGTTACTACGTTTATACGCCAACAACAACACGGCTCTAATAGCCGGTCCGACAGTCAAAATTCTACAAAAACTGTACCTCCCAGATTGGATTACCGAAGTATGGTATCTGTAGACGACATGCCCGAGCTCTTTGTGTCTTTCGATAGTAAGTGAATTTTTAAATTTTGTGTATGAACTATTAGTTAAATTTTGTTTTTTTTTTATAGAACTCATACCAAGACCTGTAACCACATTTGAAGAACCAGCTCCTTTATATTTGAGGCTCAGAATGGGTAAACCAAAAGATAAGAAAATACCAAAGTCAACCCCGATAATGTCGTACGGCAAAAAAAAAATGAAACCGGAGTATTGGTTTAGCGTTCCTAGAAACAGGCAAGTACCCAAAATATTATTACCTAATTATTTTTAAATTATTTGTTATTATTATTATTTACGGACTGACAACCCATCCCAGACATCAGATATCTGATATTGTCGCCAATAAATAAGATACGAAAATTTTAATAAAAAATATTAACGCATTGAGAACAAAATACGTAGATAAACATTGGTATGGAAAACACTTGTACTTTATTTGAACAACAGAAAATATTTCCACTGTAATGTTCATTTTATTTATCACCTTTGCATTAAAAACATGTACGTTTATTTTACGTTGCCTCACAATGTACGAAAAAACCTCTTGTTTCATTTTTGTAGAAAAACTCTTGACTCTTTCTTCATTCAAGTGGTAATTTTTTGAAATCAAATGAAAAATTAAATAAATAACCTTTTAATGTCTATTTAGGGTGGACGACCTGTATCGTTTCCTTATGTTGTGGGTGTCTCATTTGTATGGTGACCTTGATGAAGAAGTCGTGACTGGTCGCGGTTTCGAACTTGTTGAGTCAGACACGGAATTATGGGAAGAAGCTGAAACTCCACCTGGCGATACCAGCGATAAGAAGCTGGACAGGAATGAAAGCGAAGCCGGTGATCTCACACGGGAATCTTGGGAGGTAAAAATCGTTTAAAAACATTAATTCTTGTGTAGTTTACATTTCAAAGTACGTCTATCAATGTGTGGTGATATTTTGGCTATCGATAACCGTTTACAAAATCTGACAGACACAAATAGGTTTTGATTATTATTATTCTAAAATGTTATTTGTGTCCAAAAGGTGTTAAAAGCGCCGTATTCGAAATTGTACTCGTTGCTGAAGACTCAAGCCGATCAGTTCGGATCGTCAGATTCGCAGGCTAACAACGAGGTACATTGATCTTACCAAAAAGACATATTCAAAAATAGTTTGCTATTTAGTCAAACGCAGCTGAACAATCGTAAAAGTCTTAAGCCGGGCGTGTTTGTCAGTTTCTTATTAGTTACAAACAATTGGCTTCTTTACGGTATTGTATTAGCTGCGTTTGTTAGTGAGCCTAAGTTATATTTCACTAGTATGCTCTTAAAGCCTTTTTGGTAGTGATATGTTTGCACACTTAATAATAACTAGCACAGTATTAGCTACCTATCTTATACTTTTAGACAAGTAGGTTCGTTCAAAAATAACTGGCACTGCTGAATTGTTATAGGTTTAAACTTTACATTTTATTTAGTTTAGAATCATTAAACACTATTAGATTGAAAATAATTTTATTTAGATTAGCGCTTAATGCATAAACTGTTTAAATGCTTTGTACTATTATTTTATTGTTTAGATTATTATATTTTTACTAACCAGTTTGGTGAACTAGTTTTCATATAGTATCTGTAACTGCATACTAAAATATTAAGTAATTCTGTATTTTAATTTGTTTTATAAAAAATTGGATTTGAGATATCTAGGGCACAAAAATAATAGTTATGTCTTTTTTAAACACTAAAATAAAAAAATTTCACCGATCTTTTCATTAATACTTAAACGTAGGTATATAGTATACAATTTTTCAGATTTTTTTCTCAAGTCTAGAACACATTTAAGTGTTAGTATACGATTAGTGTGGTGATAGTAATTTTGTTTCAGAACTATGTATATACACTATGCAGTTAATGTTTTTTTTTTTTTTAGTTTTAGTGTTTAATGGTTATAGTTTTTTTTCTAAATTGTTTGTGTTGTATTTGCGATACATTTTATTTAGACAAATGTGACACTCGTGAACTATAAACATGTTTTTTAAATATTCAAGATCCCAACTTTATGTAGCGTTAGTCGAGCTCAAAATCTATTATTTTTGTAGCGAAAAAAAAACCGTGTGTTCTGTTAATTTTTTTTACAAAATATAATACCATTAAAACGAACTGAACGGTTCGAAACAAGTTTGTTTTAAGACTTCTAGGAAGGTATTTAAATTTAATAATCGTTTTTAGTGTTATATTATGTGTAACGAAAACTAAAAAAAGAAAATGTAATAATTTATTGTGTTTCAATATAATTCTATGAGTAAATTTCGTTTTGGAGTCTAAGGTTAGGTTAACAGTTACTTGACAGTTAACTGATCGATCCGCTGTGTTGTAATTAGAACTTAGAAGTAGTGTTTCAATTAGCACACATTACAAAAATAAATCTTATCTGAAATTGAAATTAAAATATTGTAATAAATAAGTAAACAAGCACGAATAGATTGTTTTTTTTCTCTTTGGTGATCAGATTAAAGAGCTGCTATTAAATACAATTTTTTGTTTTATCAATCGGTACTGCACGTGTTCGTAAATTTTTAAACATAGTAATACTATTAATAACTGTAATAACTGTTATTAACGTATGACGACGATATGATGACGCTGATTCGGAAAAAAAATTATAATAATAAAATTACCAGACAGTTTAACCCTTTTAAAGGTTAACGTCTTGACTAGATTAAAAGCTATTATTGTGTGTATTCTCTTGGACAATACATTGTGAATGTGTTCAGTCGAGGAATTACCATGTCGAGTGGTGTACCCTGTTTAGATTCCAGACGTGATTTTCATCTTAACATTTTTTGTTGTTTAATCCTTTTTATTTAAATGAAATGTCTTAATTGAAAGCAGGACACTCGTCATATGTGAAGTGTTCGTCTAACCGCCTTTTGGTCCGTTGGTATATATTATTACATTTCAATCGTTTTTGCTTTAGCTTTTTAAACATTAGTTTGCTGTTTTTTTTTTAAACTGAAATTTCATTAAACCTCGTTATGCCAACCAATGGTCGTTTAATTAGGTCACAGGTAATTCGTTTGTTGTATAATTTTACATCATTAAAATCTTTATATAAAATAATAAATATAATAGACAGTTTTTTTTAACAAACACGGATCAAACAAAAAATTCCAGAGCCACTTTATTTATTTATTTTTGTCAACCACTTAAGCCCATTTAACCGATTACCGAATACCCATCACAAGTCGATTTGGTTAGCGTCCAAAAACGAGACAACCAGAATTGTAATCCAGAAATCTTCAAAAGAAAAAAATATTGATATGTAAAGACATGAGGAGGCAACACATGATATATTACTAGATATGACCAATAGTGTGATGAATGACGTATAATAACAATAACAATATAAGGTTTTCTGAACGTTCCAAGTTAATATATAATTAATGATGTATTCAAGAGTGCAGTGTTTTTCTTTTGTCCATAATCGCACCGTTTAAGTTCGAAATATGAATCCATAAAAAAAAATAATAATAATATAGTGAAACTATATAAGCGGCTTAAACAATTGCGCATTGCGCCATAAAACGATAATTTCTGTACGAACGTGTCCGTTTGATTATTTTTTAATTACATTTCGAGTCGTTAGTAAAAGACGAGTGGATAAATGAGTTAAACTCCATATCGCCCGACCGATTTAATTGTTTTAATGTTCTCTGCGGTTGACGTCATCTGTTGGAGGGGTACAAGTGGTCTTGGTAAATGAAAACTTCCCTTGCCGGTTGCTTTGAAAATTTGTTTTCCTTGCGCCTTTTATAAACAACAACTGTGTACAGTCCTAGATGGAGTTAGGTTAGGTTAGGTCGACTCCCCCTTCCCCCATATAATCTCTCAAGTACGGTCTTTGTATTCTTAGTATCATAGGCGCAACTAGACATACACTTTAGGGGTGCTAAAATTATATATACCTGACTAAACATAATTCTTATCTTTGAACCATTAAGTATAAAATTTAAAAAATATATTTTAAAATCAAAAAATTGAACAGAATATGTACAAATTAAGGATTGAGGTTTGAATTTTTGGGGTTGCTGAAGTCCTTCTAGCACCCCCCTAGTTGAGGCTATGCTTAGTATATGTAATGTAATATCGTTTTTTTATATCAATCCTATTTTACAAAGTGTATTACAATTAATTATAATAATATTTTTTTTACAAAATTTACCTCGATAACAAATATTCAGTCATATCATAAAAAACGTCTTTTACAATGCAAGATGACTTGTATAATTTACATTTTTTCTGCTCATAAGAGTTTTTCTGTTATAACAAGCCTCTGTTGATTTTTTTTTTAACATTTGAACCGTGTCATGACTTTGCCACTGTTTGTGTTTTGTCTGTGCATATTTATTCAAGTTTTTAAGTAAATTCACTCGTTTCGGTTGTGGGTTGAGTTGTGACATAGTGTTTTTCTGTAACACACTAGACATGTTTTTAACTCTTAAAATTAGGTAATTAACATACTAATTTGTCAAAAAAAAAACTTATTTAGCCCTGTGTGATTATTACGTTAGTGTTGGTATAATTCAAAACCGTTTGCCTGCCATCAACAAATTGGTAAATTGGCCGTTTTAGGTGATTTTAACAACGGTGTGAACGTACTTATTATCGAAAAATTGTAGTGTTTCTTAAAACGATAATAATAACGGTAATAATAGTAATTAGTATTATTATTATCGTACGGGGGTTAGGAATGTATTTTTTCAAGGTCACTGGGTAACAAAATATAATTTCTGCATGGTTGTTGGTATTCGGTAGAAAAGTTTTTACGATAACTGCACTTTAAATGTTTGTGTGTAATAACAAAATTAATTGGTCGTTTTTTGTTTTATCGAAGGAAATGATATTATACAAGTTACGGTATTTGCCAAACTCCGGTGGGCGTGTGGAGGGGAGAGCCGCTAGAGAGGAGAATGGCCGTTAAATTGAAAAAAAAAATTGAAAATTGGTTTCGGTGCCTATTTTTTTTTTAAGAATTTTCAAATGTCCAAAAGGCGCGTGCGAGTGACGTTGTGAGAATTTACTTTCTAAAAAAATTGACAGTGTTCCAATCGGTTGAACGCCGTCGCTCGAGCGGTGGTTTTCCTTATTCGGTTCAGACAACCGCGACGGTTCCGATGGGCTAAACGTTTTTACATTGTCTCTGTCAAGTGTCTAAGTCGGTCGTTTTTCGGTCCTTATATCTGTGCTGCTTTTTAGTATTTTTTTTTTATTTGGAAAAATTCTCATCGGACGACAATATAAATCAATATATTTTCAATATTATTTTTATTAACATAGCTGATGAGTGCTGCTCGTGTGTATGTAATGTAGTGTCGGACCGTTCAGTGTTTGACCGCGCTCTCTTAAGATATAATAATAATAATAGTATTATTATTATTATGAACAGTCTCGGCAAGTCGACCAAAACGAAATTGGCGTCCACCAAAGCGTTTGTCCGAAGAGCTCAGCAGCTTTTGAAAAAACGAAAAGTATAATTTTTAGATTTTATTGCACATTTCAGTAAAGTTTACATATAGAAAATTATTTTTAGAGTAAGCTTTTTGTTAAGTAAAAACCACTTAACCGCTTTATGATGTATATAATATTTATTTAACTCCTCTTTTTTTTCATAATAGCTTCAAACAGCTTGTGTCAAGCTACTCGATTTTTAATGATAATTTTAAGTTATTAACCTTAATATTAATCGTATTAGAACCTCAAAAAGATTTCTCTCTGTATCGATTTTCGTTATGAATATTTTATCTTAAGCATGATCAACGTAAGCGCAAATTAAGGATAGGAAGTTTAAGGGGTTTATTGATGAGGAAGGTATGGGTAATGCGTTTACATTACTCCGTCTTATATCCGCTCAACTCTGATTTTTCAATAAATTTTCGCCAATGATAATTATTGTATGATTGTTATCACGCTTGGGATTCAAAAAACATATTTAGCTATACAAAATAAATTGGACATTTTATCAAACTTTATGTTATCATATTTTGAACTGCAAATTATTTGTACTACAAAACGGTAGCTTTAAAATACATTCTAAAACAAACATTTAGAAATTTCGTGTGTACTATTGTAAATGTGTTGATTATATTTTACCTCTGGATACATGCTATCTTCCTGGATTTGTTTGTATATTTTTGTGTTCTAGTCTGGCCGGGACAGTTAAGTCGTTTGTGTGTTCAATGATATTTACTCGAAGAACACGACCTAGGGGCTTAGAGTCTTAACTTTGTTGTGTATATAGTTTTATTGCTCTTTTGGATACCCACTCGTTTCGCAACACAGTTGATGATTTACGATGCGACGCTAACGTTAACCCATGTGATCCTATGTTGTCTTCCGTATAAAAGCTTTTTATAGTTTTTTTTTTTTTAATTTTATTTTTGATTTCTCGAAATTTGGCATAAACACCACACGCCGGAACGTCATCCAATCACGTCGTCGGCTTACTACTATATCTAACCACTGTTTATTTGCATAAAACCAGAATTATATGTTTGTCGTCGGCCAAATCGCCAGATGGCCACAATATTATTATTTTTATGTTATTTATAGAGAAATGTAAATCTTGTTTTTAATCGTCAAAAATTTGCCCGGTTAATGACCGACAGGGAGAAGGACACACATCATACAAAAAGTGTCATATCAACAATTAAGCTGTTACGATTTACTTCATAATTTGCATAAACATTTTTTGTAACGAAGCCAAAAATGGTGAACCATGGTTTAAATGTTTACTCGACAATTCTAAAATCAATACGAACAGTATGAGTGGTACTCTGATTTGATTTCTAAAAAAATTATATACTTTTACACACAAAAAAAATATTTTAAGTTGAATCTAATCAGGATGGTCATCAATAGTTTTTATTTTGTCACGGTCGGGATTTATTTTTTCTACAATATTCAGACAATAATAGATGCCTGTTTGTTTATATTTTAAGGCATGAAAATGGACGGTAGGATTTATAATTTCCATCCCTAAAAGTGTTTGTCGGCCTACAAATGTGTTGTTCATTGTAAAAGTGAATTATCTCCTTATGATTGAATTTTGAAATAACGAGCGTTTTTTTAATTAATCTGTAGGAAAAACAATACAAGTATTCATTCAGGGTTTTCTAATTTTTATTTATTTTTGTATTTATCGCAGTTGCTTCTATTTTAATATAATTTGACCTTATTAAAAAAAAATATGTATAATTTAAAAATTTGGATTTACACCACTTTTAAACGACCCAATTGTTTGTCATCGGCTTGTAACATTTTATGGATGGTTTTGAAAACGAGCGCTTCATGAAGAGCATTTACAGAGTATTATTATGTGTCGCGGTACATGTTTGAACACCGATGGAGCCATTTAAAGGCACTTCTCGTTGACAAAAAAAAAATGACATTGGTTATTCTTTTTTCGGCTTTTTTCCTGTACACGGACTAGTATTTTTCAGGTACTACAATAATGTGTACAATATATTATTATTATTATATTGTAAACAATGCGGTAATAATCGAATGGCTGTGTTTTGTTTGTACCTTTAACGCGCCCACGTGTGTCCCCAACCCATTTGACCTCCAGAAGATTCGTGTGCGTGTAATTGAATTAATATATTCCAATATTAATAGGCGTGTGGTATGTGTAGACGACCGGTTGTTTGTTGTTGTTATTATTATTGTGTCGTCTTCTCGAATTGTATTCTATTTAACGTGTGATATAATTATTTTGCAAGGGGAGGACCGGCCGACGCGTTTGTCTGTAAGTAAAATTATGATGACATTGTGTGACTGTACGATTTTAAAATGATTAACTACCACCCGTCAAGTTCGAAGCTCTAAAAAACGGTTGACCTATTCAAAAATCCAAACATCAACTCGTCCACGCGTTAAATTGCCTATTAAATATTTAAATGTATTAGATTGCCTTATAATTTAAAAAACTGTGTTAGGCCGGTTCGCTACACTACAAAACGAATTTCTGTGTCGCACTGTAAAAAAAAACATGCCCTTTCTATTTTTTGTTTGGAAAGCGTATAACGTGCACATGAAGTGTCAACATGATAATAATATGCGAGCTGAACACCGTTTCCTTAGTTTGAATCTATGGCTGATAATTATACAAATAATATGGACGACATGAATTGAACTTCAGGAAATTTCTTTTGTGTAGAACACCTACAGTGTTGGCCTACGTGCAATTTTTCTCCTTCATTGGCTTTCGAAATTTTACAAAGACATTGTTCGCCACTTGAATATCCGTTTTTTATAACCATGTTCTGCTCGGCATAAAATAACCGACCTCTTACTGTTATTTAAAAAAATATTTATAGATAAAATGTCAGCCTTTATCGCTAGAAAAAAAATGTATTAAAATAAAATTATACTTTTGGCTTGCGATTGGCGACGGTGTTTGAATTTGGAGCTTTGGAAACGTCACGTTTTGTTAAAAAAAAAAATTGCAAATTTAATTACGAATTTCCCTTTTTGGCGATGTGCCGAACATAGTGTTTATTTTCGGACACGTTCTTTGTGTTGGACATCTCGCAAAGTCTTAAGTGATCTTTCGAGTAGTTGTATTATTGTTAAACTGAATTATCTGTGTAAATAAAGAAAAAAATTACTTCTTTTTAATCGTCATATCGACGGTTCGACGCTTAAGTTCTCAAACGGAGTTTTTTTTATTGTTTTATTTTAACCTAGCCTTGAAATGAGTTTTTACTTTTTTGTTGTTGTTATGCTTTGGGGGTTTTTAGTCGGTTCTCGCTTAAAGATCTTGGCTTATCGCCAATGGTGTGCGCGTTTGTCTTGAGATGTGTATCGTATGTTTAAACATATTTTTTTCTTCAGTTTTTTCACCTTACCAAAATATTTAAGCGGCGATTTACTGTCGTGTTGTTGTTGTTGCATCTCTATCGCCGTGAGCACTTAAAAAATAGTATTGATGAATGTGTGGCGTAATAAACAACAGGATAAATCAATTTGTCTACACCTCTTGTTCCCACTCCACCCTTCGACACCGTTTTTTGTTTTTAAGCTCATTAATTTCCACCGTGTGACGCGTCCGTTATCGCCATTTAACGTAATTAACATTGTAGTCGGGCAAATAATATTTGTATCAATCTGATGTTTTTTTAGAGAGAAAAAAAAAACCACCGATTGCGATCGTCATAACTGCATGTCGGATGATTGTTTGTTGTGGCAAGTGTTTTTTTTTCCATTCAGTAGACGAGGAGGCGGGCTTGTTGATCACAGATGCTTGTTACCTGTCTAAAATGGCCTGTTTTTTTTAAAAAAATTTTACCCCAATGGGACGACGTTTATTATTTTTTGACTTGTGGTGGGAAATTGAAAGGGACTAAGTCAAATTTGATAGCGGAGGCTCGTTAAAAGGTCACGGATGGTTTGTCCTTAGTAAACGAGACAGATAGGTCGGATTTAAAAAACCAAAACTGTGTCATTTTCCATCGATAGGAATTATAATAAAAGATAAAAACCACTAGGGGTTCAACAAACTAGTAGGCCAAGGCTAGTTAACTCAATGTCTTTTTTGGGGTTTCTATTAAACGAACCCCTCCAACTCGAGCCGTGCCTATATAAAGAGGATGTTTTTTGAAAATATACCTAAGTTTTTCTAATGAATTGTCGCGTTGTTTTACTTATAGATTTTAACGTAATTTTAATTGTAATTTTTGTCATACATTCAGTAAATTTATCATAGTCGATCGAGTTGTTTGGTATTATTTGATTGTAGTAACATATTATTATGTTTGTCGTTTGAGACAATTCTTGAATAGTTTATTTGCCTTATATATTTTGCGACTTGTCTTTGTTGCTGAGCTAACGTGTACCAATCGAGCCTCGAAGGGTTAAGTTTTCTCAAGATCCGTACGACGATTTACATTGTTCTGTTTGACCTCGGTCTAATCGCTAAACGTATTAAATTGCTGTAATAATAATGTGGCACAACATTTGAGTAAGATATGAAATACACAAAAAAAAGCCACGCCATCTTTTTTTCGGGCTGACTGAAAAAAACACAAATATACATTTTTCATTGGAATAGCTATTATGATAGATGGTACATATTATTGCACATTGTGTATGTGATATGTTGATTCTGTCCACTGAACAACTTTATTATTATTATACTACACCGTTGGCGTTTTAAGCGCAACTATTATTATTATTAGCCGTTAAAAATTGTGAAAATTTCGATTGCGTTACAATCCGAGATTAATAATAATTGTTGTGTTTGCGTTGTAAGTAATATAAAATAACGGTGTCATAATAATAATAATAACAATAATAATAATAATAATAGACAGCTGTAATTAACAGTCAAAACCGCTGTACGGTACATATATATAATAATAATAACACAAAAGTATATTGAAAATGGCTGTTGTAATAGTGTAATGTTGTTAGTCGAACAGTAGGTATAGGTGCAACACACATCAGTGGTTGTAGCATATGCACTGGAATAATACCTTAAAATATTAAGCAGTGTCGTTTGTCTTCCACAGAACATTATTATAATAATATATTTATTTGTATACCTACAGCATGTCTAAAATATTGTATCTGAACGGAGGCGGTGCACTGGTAATGAGAATAATATAATATTAGTTAGGCCATCTATGAAATAAATTTTTTTTTTTTGCACATTTTGTATTTTCTGTACATCTTAATTGTGTGGCTGTCTCGTATTTTGTGTACGTCGATGTGACTATTGTAAAATAGCGATTTTGACTAATTTGTTTTGTTTTCACCTGACCCCGTTTCAGGTGCTGTCTATGAGCGATGAACTGCGGCGAGCGTTTTACGCCAACAGCGTCAACTCGTTGGATTTCGACTCTTACATACCGGAATTGCACGGCACCACCGAGATACTGACCGAAGAGCACCGCAAACAGTTGAGCAGGCATTTGCCGGCCAGAGCAGAAGGTAAGACCAACAACAGCGGCATAGCTTCTCGAGTCTAGCATCTCATTATTTAATTTTTTGTTTTAACAACACCCAATTGTTGTCGTTATCGGTGTAGGCCATGCGCGTTTGTAGTCACCGTAATGGACTTCATCCTGTCGTTAGTAGCGTCGACGGTGGCGCATGTGAACGGTTCTTTATGACGCATAAACCTAATAAATTGCTGCCCAGAGCGATGAACTTTTATAGGAGGAACTTCCACAATTAATTTGTGTATGTCTAATTTAATTATTTAATTAAATTTTTTTTTTTTGTCGCAGGATACATGTGGTCGTTGGTGTTCAGTACCCTTCAGCACGGATTCTCCTTGAACTCCATGTACCGGAAAATGAGCAAAATCGAAAGCCCCATTCTCCTAGTCATACAAGACACCCAAAACAACGTAAGACCTTGCTTGGACAAAAAAAATGTCGTTTTAATAAAAATTGTTAATGTTTTCGACATTTACTTTCATAGGTATTTGGCGCTCTCACGTCGTGCGCGTTGAAGATGAGCGATCATTTCTACGGTACTGGCGAATCGTTGCTGTATACGTTCTGCCCCGACTTCCAGGTTTACAACTGGACCGGCGACAACATGTACTTCATCAAGGGCAACAACGAGAGTCTTTCCATCGGAGCCGGAGAGTAAGTGTAGTTGTTGTGATTTTATAAGTGTTTCGTCATAAAACACTTATCTGACATTTTGTACATAGCAAAACGCGATGGCTTGTAAAAAACTTTTTTTTTTACTGTTTAAACTGACGATTAACTTGCTTAACAAAAACTTTTCTGTGCTTATCACATTATCTAGTAAACGTAAAAAACTTGCTTACAACAATTTTTCTTGCTAAGCCTTCCGTGTTAACAAACTAAATGTTTTATTTTTATTAAAATATACTAATCGTGCAATTATTTTCTGTTTAGCGGTAAATTCGGTTTGTGGCTCGACGGTGATCTGAATCAAGGAAGGACCGAAGCGTGTAACACATACGGTAACGATCCTTTGGTGCCAGAACAGGACTTTGTTGTCAAAATTCTCGAATGTTGGGCGTTCCTATAAACCAAATTTTAAACCACTTTACGGACACAATTCACATATTATTATTATTATTTTTTTTTTAGGTGCTAAATTATTATTTTAAAATCTTGTTAAGTATTAAAACATAAAAACAAAAAATCCAAAAAAAAAATCAACAATTTAAAAAGAAATAATATTATAATAACTTATTTATATAACCGCACCAACTATTTACCCCTGGCGGCCCTCACACTTGTCTGTCGTACCTGTTTGTACATAAGTAAAAAAAAAAAAACAAAAATTATAGAAAGTATATAGGAAAACTAAACTCGCGAAACAATTTTAGCTCAAAGTTATGATAAATTTGTAGTTACATAGTTGTTTCTTTATTTTTTTTTTATTAATTAAAATTTTATTTATACGCATTGAAAGCTATTTATTGTGGTGTAATTTTAGTAAATCGTCTAGTCTCAGTGAGAGCTTTATAAGTGTCGTCGGTGTTGCCAATTCCAAATGTTAAAAAAAAAACAATCATGTGGCAGCACTGAATGTTTTTTTTTTTTACATTTTTTAATTTTATGAAAATTAAATAATTATTTTTTTTATTATATTATAATTTTTTAACCTTTCGCCCTTTTGTACGTACGTCCAGGGACCACACACTAGTCATTGCATGCGTGCACGCTCCCATGTGCCTAAAAAAAAAAAAAATATTCCCTCTTTTACGGCCGGTAGACAATCACAAAATATATTTGAATTTATCCTCGAATTGTTGGTACCTCTCTCTCCCACCCTTCAACCCCAACCCCCAACTGAATCTCTTTATCATCATTATAATAATTTTTTTTTTCAAATATATCATTGTGTTGTGGCAACACTGATTCGGTAGCTGGGCGCTGTAGTTTTTAGATTAAAAACATAATATTGATATATTATATTATATATATATATATATTTAACTACTATAATAATGTTTTAAAAATTTAAATAAAATAAAATAAAAGAACATATTATATATATATTTAAACTAATGATAAAATAAAATTAACATAAATGTGATAAGTCTTGCATTGGCCTAATGTAGTATTATCGAATAATATTGCTAGAGCGTAAAGAAAACTATTTTTTAGTTTAGGAAGTTAAAATTTAATAGATGAATAATACAATTAACTATATGATTAAAATAAAAGAAATAAAAATATATGTACCTCTAGTGAAGTCAATTCCGTAGCAGTTAAGTGGATTGTTGAATATTTTTTTTTTTATTTGTGTGTGTATTCGTAACAAAATATATATTGTACGCGAAAGACGAATATTGTTGAAAAGTTATTATTAGAAAAAACTCATCGTAATTTATATTTGATAAAAATAAAGATTAACTCGTCAAAAATGAAATAATCTTATAACGTGTTACGTTCACTTTGTAGATAAAATATGTTTTTAATTATTATTATTTTTATTTTTATCAATAGTGATGTATATTATTTATTATTATTATTATTATTTCTGTTTTTTTTAAACAAATGTGGGCGTTCAGACGATTGTACGATTGCGTGTACCCGTTGGAAATATCAATTAAATGGTAGGCAGCGCTTTGTGTTTTTCTTTTGTTTTTAATTATTATTATTATTAATTTTTTTTTAAATATTTTAGACGGTATTATTTATAAAAAAAAAAATTATATTTATAATTGTTACTGTTACGCGAGTGATTTATTTTGATTTTGACGTGAATAAAAGTTAATGTAACGTTAAACGTTTGTGTTGTTTCTAATTTCAAACATTTCTTAATATTCCTGTATACTGTTTTTTATGCAACAACAATATTTCAATTCGTAATATTATTGATCACTACTCTGTTTGTATAATATAATTGTCCTTCTTAATCCTCTTTTGTGAATGGTATTAAAATAGTAGACAATAATTGATTTGAAATTTTCCCTATGAATATAATATGTTTTTTCCTTCTAAATATATTACTATTTATAAATTATAGTGTAAAGTTACCGGTCACTCTAAATACAGCTGTACTCTGATAGCATACCAGACCGGGGTTCTTAGATGAAATATAATTTCTACAGTATGTGTCAGGAGTAGAACACCAAATAGAGATTTATACGCATGATTCTACACTGTAAATAGTGTATCTATCATATTTGGTTATACAAAAATTACAAATTTTCTTTGCTCATTAAAGTTTTGCATTTTGTGTAAATATATTTTACACAGTTCTTTTTTTTTTTTTTGACACTAGATCTACTTTCCGTGTAATTTTCTGACCTAAAGCCCTAAAACTACACTCGAAAAATAGAAATAAAAAAATAATTTCTAAGCCTTCTAAGGAAAGGTTAATGATATTTTCGTGGGTTCGCCAAAAGCACAATATGCAATGAATATCTACCACAAACTTGGAACAAATCTTACTACTTATTTTTTTCCAATATATTACGAGTAGTAAATTAAGAATTTTTGTGTTGATTTTTAAAGGAAAGGGGAGAATTTATAAACAATTTACCTAAAAACCTACAAAATTGATTTGTCTGTATAACATACATAATATTATGACGACGATGATTTAAACGAATACTTAAGGTAAGTACCTTAAAAGTAGCTTTTATCGAATAGATAATGTGCAAAAAAAACCCATGCCAATGGTTTCACAAGGTCTCCATTGTATCCAGACTACCCAGTTGTCTATATTATAGTAATAGCGGTTAAGGCCCCTGGATACCGACCATTTTTAAGGAGTTTTGTAAAGGCAATATTTAAGAAAAAAGTGGTTTTAATCAATTTCGACCATGTCAATAAGTTTTAACGGTTAATTTGTATAAGCTTCATGGTATTATTTTTAATTTAAATAATTTTGTCTATGAGTGAAAGCCATTTTAGTTAGTATAATAGTACTTTTTTTGTCCATCGCACAGGCTGAACCAGTGATCCGATAAGTAATCTGAAAACAGATTTGAATTCGTCACGAAGTTTACTTGAGATCGGTCAGCGTACTTTTTTGATATCTTATTCCTACTACGCATAAAACACGTTTGAACATTTAAAAAAATTTCAAAATTGAAAATCAAATTTGGAAAGGGTTAAAATTAAAAATTGAAAAAAGTGCTCTGACCGATCTCAAGTAAGCTTCATGACGAATTCATATCTTTTTTTAGATTGCTTATCGGATCACTGGTTCGACCTGTGCGATGGACAAAAAATTATGTGTTTTGGCTGAAAAAAACGGTCGGTATCCAGGGGCCTTAAGGTAAAAAAATAATAAACTCATAACCGGTTCAGTGAAATTTCAGAAATAACGGCGTTGAACTGTTTTGAACTTGAAAAATAGAATCATCCAAAACCGTTCAAACATAATTTTTTTTGCTTCAATATTAGACCAACTGGCTATGAGCACCGGCCCCATATATATTTCCAATATATTTAGATGTACCGCTAGAATGTATTTATAAATAATATAACGCGGATTTTAATTAAACAGAACTTTTAATTTAATTTCTAGTTATTTGTCTCTCCAGCCTTCCGTGTATTTATATACATATAAAGCACCGGTTCAAAGAGAAGTTTATTATTATTATTTTTGTCAAAAAGTTTTATCTCTTACAGTACATCACAAAGCTTACTCTGATTTCAATTATAAAAAAAATACAGTTTTTCTCTTTAATTAAAATGGATCTTTGGAAGTACAATATTTTGTTCCGCGATTAAAATGACACTGGGTTCACCAGAGATGGTTTAAAACGTGAACCGTAAAGTTAAAGTAGGTTGTCAACAGGTGTTGTAAAAATATTAGGTACCTTTACATAATACCGTAAAAATAAATAAATATTTTCAAGAGAAGTTAAACACAAGCAATATTTTACACAAATCCCTTGAAAATATAAACACTTTTTTATTGTCTAGCTACTTTAGCTGTCCACAATCCTTAAAATATCTTCGTTTTTTTTCTTCCTTATAACGGGGAAAAAACTCAATAAAATATAGTCATTTTACTTGTTTAATTATTTTAACACCAATATTTTATTATTATTTTTTTTAGTATACCCACATACCAAAACAAACTTCTTTAAATAATATTTCATGGTAGGAATTAATAAAACGTGTTTTGTCGAAATGACATATGATTATAATTTAATTTTGAATAACTGAAAAATATATTTTAGCTAATTTTGTAGTTATACATGTTATTAGCTACAATTACACAATTTATGTATCGATGGAAATAGTATATTAAGAGAAATGGCATTATATTTGTAATTTGTACGCTGTCATAAATCATAAAGGGAATATAAATAGTGGCTACTTCGTCCATACTACAAAATACAAAAATGTTTAAAATATAGGTAATAACTTTTTAACTTATTAACCTATGTACATTGTTATTTACATTATGCCAAGTCGGCTATTTGGAAACACAAACTTTCAATAAAGACATACAATTGCTTATTTTGATATTTTGAAATTCATAGGTATTTTAATACATTTATGGTCATTAATCCGAGCTCGAATCATTATTATTATTATTTAAAATATTTTGTTTACATTGTATTATTAGTTACGTGTATTGGAAATTATTGTAATTATTACATTTGATGCAGTCAAATAATTAATACACCTATTGCATAACCCAGAATCATTTCTTGTTTTTTTTTGTTTCATAATAATTAAAAGCCTAAAATTACATGATTTTCTTTTAACAGACAAAACCATATTATAACTACATATAGATTGTCTGCGGTAACTTGTTTACTATCTTCAAGTTCTGAACTTTTGTTTTCATCGACACACAGGAAACAGGAATATTGAAGTGTCTACGTCTGTCCTTCGTCAAACAACTTTTTCAGGTCCACTAAGTTGTGAACAATGTGTTTATTCGTATTGTCTTTATGTTATGTGATATTTTAACTGATTGGCTTTCGGTTATCTGTTTATTGTTTGTTTCAATAAATGTAACTTAATATATTTCGGTAAACTTTTATAAACACAATAATAATATTTTGACAGCGGTGACAACAATAGTTTATTCATTAACAGCCGTGTTTCAATAAATTTACATGGTTTTTTAAAAGTATAGGAGTATTGATCAAATATAGCGGAGAACGTGGAGACGACAAAACGGAGTAAAAACCTCGAGCAGTTTAAGCTGAAATGACTTAGTACAACTTTACACATTATTTACTATAAGCCTTAAAAACTTAGGTTACTTGCTTAGGCAACGCACGTAGACATACTTTCGAACAAGAAGTTGATTTAAACGATTTAAAATTTGGAACGATACTAAAAATTGCTACTCAAATTTATATGTGATGGTTGTACAAATCTAATCTTAAGTTATTCTTAATGAATTTAATGAAATCTTTGGTTTATATTTTTTAAACAAATTTTTAATTAACTGATTTTAATAATACTGTTGCTTAGATATACATATCTTATTAAATTAAATAAATACAATTACGCATATATATTTTTCTTAAGACGACTGCACGCGGTCTATTTTAAGGAGTTTAGTATAGGCAATTTTTAAGAAAAAAGAGGTTTTAATAAATTTCGACCACGTCAATTAATTTACTAGTTAATTTGTATAAGCTTCAAGTGATTTCTTTTTAATTAAATACATTTTTGGTTTATTTTAGGCCAAAAAGACAGACAAAACTTTGACTACAATGGTCCAATTTCAATTCTGTAATTTTTGTCAATTCTAATTGTTATTAATTAAGCGAGTATAGAATTTTACAAGGTGATTTTTTTTAAAATAAGCCATTCAATATTTCATAGGGTTTAATTCATAATTGATTTTTTTTTCTGTAGCGTTTTTGTGCATTGTGATCTCAACTTTTTCTAAACTTTTATGTTTTTAGCCCCTCCATAAAATGAATTATTTTTATATCAACTTTAAAACTTAAATGGAAACATATATGTGTATATTATATAATTTACTGAAAAAGTTGATTGGTCGATAACTAGTTTTGAATCATCACTTTCAGTTCAAGTTACAGAGATTAGAAGTTAAGACTTAGGTAAGGGAAGAGCGTTTGGGAAATGCGTGTTGATTAAAATAATAGTACACTCCACCCTTGCTCTCGTCCTAAACATTAAACATTTTACTTTAATAACTTCAACTGCAAAAAAACGGTGTAGCAGATTTGATCCAGAACAATGTTAACCTACGACGGTTTGTTCAATATTTCATAGATTGTTATCATTCCTACACTTGAAATTATCGTGAAAAAGCAAGAGGCGTTGTTGTAAACTTTGGCGATCGTTTAAAGAACTTTTGCTCGCAAATTCTCGACGGCTTATCATAAGTACTTTTAATCGTTGCGGTTTTGTTTAAATGAGTAAATTACATAATGGTCGCTCTAAATACAATTGGAATTTCGGCTAATCCAAGGTACGCAAAAACTACATATAGATACTAATCAATCCGGAGAATTACTTTTGTGTTAAACATGATTTGTTCCTTTACTTAAATAGTTTATTTCTTGAGTTTATTATATGCAAGCTACGAGAGGTTTGTTGTTTTATTGATTTCTAAACGTTCTATAGAAGTAAGTCCAACCATCATAGACAAGAATACAACTGAACTATAAAACTAAAAATCTATGTGTGACGGTTGTACTGCTTGTTTTTAAAAATACAATAATTTAATCTTAAGTAATTTTTTTGTGAATCTTTAAAAAGAAGTAAATACTGTGTAAAAATTAGTTAAGGACTGTATAGGGTGTGTATTTTGTTTAAATTATTTACAGGGTTGTCGGTTACACCTTATTTGGCTTCGCCCAATTTAAATAAAGCCAATATGTAAATATAGGTGTAACCGAAAATGAAGAGTGGAATCAAAAAAGGCCTTAAGTGTAATTTTTTCCAAAAATTATTTTTTCAGCCAATAAGGATGTATGTTCTAACGCCAATATAACGCAATAAGGCAGAAATTTCCTAGTCGATTGACACTTAAAACCTTTTTTGATTCTACTCTTCAAATCCTGTTAAAATCCGAAAACACACATTTTTAGCAATCAAGCAATCATAGGCTATGATAATATTTTAACTTATTAGCCATTCACACTTCACTCAAACGTACCTATATACCTATTGCGAGACATATTTTCGAAGAAAAAAAGTAAACTGTAATAAATACAATTATTGTATAATTACATTAAATTAAATTTTACAACTCAGCAGTCACACAGATATCCGTCGTTTGTACAGTTGGTATCAATTGAACTTAAGTTGTCCAAATATATTTGTATTATATACAGAGTGTTCCGCTAAGATACATAATAATAATAATATTATGTACCCAATACCATCATTCGATTGTAAAAAAAAATAATAATTTAATTGTGTTTTTCCTTTTGTGGGAGGACATATTGTATGCAACGTTAACATTTTTTTTTTTTTTATTATTAAATCTGGTTTAAATTTTATTTTTATTTTTTTCAATTAACTGATTTCAACAGGACTGTTATTTAGATATACATATTTTAATAAATAAAATAAAATAAAAAATTCGAACAGCATAAATAGTTTTCTTAGCTGATGTTTAATTTTGACTAGTACAGTCGGTATATGTATGTATTTATGAAGTGTGTATATTTAAACGTGTGGAACAGTGCGAATAAGTTTACTTATACATGTTTATAAAGTGATTTGGATAAAAAATAAAAGTTTAAATGTTGTCTTATGTCAAAAAAATAACACAAACAGTAATCGACGGATCTCGGCGCTACACGGTTTACACTGTAAGCCGTTTCAGTTTTGGTAACCTCTTTTCTTAGGTGATGTTTCGCATTTCAATTGTCCTGAGTATCAATTTTATTGGCGAGGAACTGATCCACGTTCACCGTATATTTTATACATAATATTATATACAACTTATATTGTACATGTAGTGTGCCACGTTTGCGCCGTTCAATTTTAAATAGTAATGACTAGAACACTTCCAAGTGGATCTGAAACAGTGTACAGTTTAAAAATGGATTCCAAGCGAGAACTCTTATATGATAACTCTTCGCCATGGCGCACGCACCTGGTTTGGTTTTTCACGTTAAAACAATAAGTTTTGAAACCATCTCCATGAACTCGATTTGCATAACGCCTTCTTCTTTGGGCATCCGTAGTGTCTTAAGCACAGCGCTAATTGTTGATCACACTCGCACAGCCGTTGACTACAACCTCCTCCCAAAGCTGTCACAAATTACATTTTTTTTAAAACAATTTTATACTACATACAATATTTATGAAAATGATCGTTTAAAAATAAGTCGAGTACAGAAACTTGTTTGCTGTCCTTTCGAATAGTATGATTTTCAAACACATTTAACAAGACGTTCACACAAACAGAAGGAGAACAGATTAACATTATTACAACAAAACCCCCTTTGAGTTGGACATTGTTTGAATATTTTTGAAATATCTACCGATGTAGTTCCATTTATTGAATCGACAAAACTGTCAAAATATTTAACACAAAAAAAAAACATCAGGCCGTTGATTTGTTTTTTTACACAGACTCACAAAACAACGCGATTCACTAAAACAGGCACGAAACTAGCTGGAAAGTAAACAGTTTTTTTTTAAAATTTCGTTGAAAATAAATACTACGGTCTGCAAGTCATGTCAATTTGTAAAGGATCAAGCAAATAAAATAAGACATAAGCGGATAACCGTCGTATGTGATTTTCTGACAAAGCTTTGACGTTGTATTGTTATACGGCTGTATATTAACCGTTCTCTTTCTACACACTGAACCTTTATTTTTTTGTACATAAAAGTTTTTTATCATTTAAAAAAAAAAAATACTCATCTCGTTCTTTTTTATCTCATTGCCGTGATACGTAACTCGGAAAATTGCCTCGGCCTTTGTAAAATATAATTTAATAACCTTAATGACTGGGACGAACAAACAGAATAAAATACAGCATTTTAAATACAAAATACTAATAACAAATCAGATATTTGTAATATGTATTATAAATGTCTGATGTTCACGAGGATACAATGGTTGGATTGGTTTATGGTATATTTTAGTATGGAATATTTAGACGTGTTTTCAACAAATAACATACTTGTTTTTATGGAGAAAAAATTGATAAAATTCTATAGTTGTCTATAACCGAATAGAGGACCCTACAAGTACAAAACTTTACCGACTACTTGTGATCGCCATGACGCCGGGTCGCCGAGAACTTATACTTACAACACAACGGTTTGCGGTTGTAGCAAGTCCACACGTACGGTGTGAAGTACTCTAGGAACATTGGACAGTCGGCACCGTCATAACACCAATCGTGCATTTTGCAACAGCTGTAAAAAAAAATAAAAACCATTACAGCTTAATTCGCCAACGGGCTTTGGTCGTCTTTAGTGGGATAGCACCACTTTTCCTAAATTGCATGTGTTACCAAGGACAACATTTTCTACCATCTTTTTAACATTGGTAATTTATGGCAATTTAGGAAAAGTGGTAGCAACCCGTTTTTAGTTGTGTTTAACTTGTCAATCGCGTCGACCGGCAATCCGGAACCCAGGAAACCGCAGTAACAGCCGTAGCCTAGGTAAGCAATCGGGTTGCAACCGGTCGCACACACCACCATGTTGTACAGTTGGAACGCACTTCTCTTGGGCCTGAAAAACATAAGTACCTGTGTTAAGATTAGGTAACAGAGCTCGATGGCTAATAACAATAATTATCATTCTACATCAACGGGTGCACATTCATGTCAAGATAAAAAGCTGTCATCTTTGAGCATCTGGTTCGTCTGAGATTTTTTTTGAATTGTCAAACAATTCCCACGGGATGTTGTAGGTACTCTCGAAAAGCCTTTATGGTCCCTAAGTGAGACACAGGTGCCTTATGGTCCCTATACAAAGGCGCAACTAGGGTGGTGCTAGCGGGACTTTAGCAATCCAGACTCAGAATTAGCACCCTCAAACCCCAATCTTTGATATGTACACTTACAATTCTAATAATGTACATACTCTGTTCAAATTTTTTATTTTAGAATATTTTTCTTTTCAAATATATTATTTTATATCAAATGATTTGAAGTCAGCAGAGTTATTAATAACAATATTAATACCACTTAATAACAATATTAAGGAATTTTATAAGTTATCAAACGCAGAACGGTGAACAAAATAAACAACGTTATTATGTTATTTTGTGGCTTTGTGCACCGTACGAGTGTTACTGACTTTGATATTTCACCTTTAGGCTTTATATGTATATAAGTATAATAATTGTTCGTCAACGGTTGTCGGTGACTAATTAAAATTTACGGAACGACGGCGAAAGATGATTTTGATTACTTATTGACGATGAACACTGATGAGCTGTAACGGGCGAGACGAGTCTTATTTTTTTCTATGTGGTATTTTTTATAGCGCCCGTTCATATTCAGGTGTCTCCCACCCACAAACGGTTTCTTTCGCAGATAGACTAGCTTCAATGCGCACCTATATATAGTATATTTTGTCTGGACCAAAATAACAGTGACATAACATCGACTTGTGTCATCGCGTTATAAAAAAAAATATATATAATAACTAATTGTTATTACATTCGGCTGATGTGTACAAAATTATTTTTAACTCGGGAGAATATAACAATACAGGCGTTTTTTATAATAGCAGACCCGTTATGTAAGAATATATAATTCCTGAGAAATAGGACCATTAGGAAAACAGCACCCGGGAGCGCTAGGAATTATTATAATACCAAATGCTCAGTGTCGTTATGGGTATTATAAATTTGTTTTGTTTGGTTTGCTTACCGGGTTTGCGGCTCTTTGTCGTCGGACTGACTCGCCGATTCCAGTATGGCCGACGGTCCCCAAGGGTTGTTGGTATAGCTGACATAAACGTCTATGGGTATGGTGGTACCGTTTTTGTGGTGTATCCTTCTGGTCAACGCATTGAGATTGGCTAGAGGAAAACATATTGTATGAAATTAAAACTGAGAATTAATAAAAAAAAGAAACGAAAATTTACAAAAATTGAATCAACAAACATAAATTAATACGATCAAAAATATTTGTTTCACAAATTTACTCTTGAGTAATTCTCAAGTGTGGATCGAGATTTTAAGTAAAATGTATCATTTAGTTTCTAAGCGCCTCCATGGATTATCATTTACCTGAAACAAGCAAGAGCAGCAGGAACTTATAGAAAGACAGAAAGGGTACTCTAAATATACATAGGAGGAAATTAGCTCAAGCGAAGCAGGTGTTCTTTATAAAAAAAAAAGACTGTTCACCACGAATGCGACTAGCCTGTATATTAGAGAGAGAAACTGGTAAAAACATTTATGCGGATCGTGGCATCATTTGGAGTGAACCCCTGGGCAATTCCTAAGGCGAAGAATAAAATTTAGGTTTTCGAAACTTAGAGGTGGAGACAAGTGGTGAAAATGTCCAAGCCGGAAGGTTAAGTATCAAACAAAGAGGTGTACGATAGGATGAGTGAAAGGAAAAACACATGTATATAAATTATAATTTAAAGAAGAACTGTAGGTAAAGCCTGAGACGACCAAATTTATGAAACAAATCATGCCCCGAAAAGTTTCTTGAAATAAGCAAAATCTTACTTCCGGCGTCTGGTCAAACGGGTTCGATGACTATATGCACTGCCTACAGCTGGTATGGGCACTGTGTATGTATGTTAATAATATTATTGAATCAACTTTAGCTAAGAAACTTCCTGTGGTTGGCTGATTTCGCAAAACACAGAAGGAGCAAAATCTGTACAAAACCATAAGCTATCCTGGTGTGTATCGGTTAACGGTTTTAGAGACTCTTTTTATTTTTTTTTGGTCGACGATATAGGTATGTTCTGCGCTGATTGATGATATACGTTGATAAAATAATGTGTTTGGCTCTAAATCCCAACCGAAATCCCCGTATTATAGGATGCGGGCTGTTGCCCACACTGCATTTGTCCAGACATTATTATATACCTATCTTTGTATTTTATACATTATATGGGAATGACAAGATTTCGGCGTGGGAAATATCATCTGAGCAAACTTGTACGAGAAACGGAACTGGTGGTAAAGTTTGGCTAAAAATATTGCTATGAGCTTTGTAAATTGTAAAATATATGAAATAACGTCAAAAACAATGGAAATGTACAGTGAACAAATGATTAGACAAACAGTTGCATTTTGGAACAATCGGTTCAGCATACCTGATACAAGTACTTCTCGAACCGTTGGTACTAATACTATGGCACAAGAAAATCCCAGACATAAGACTTCTGTAGATTGTTCCACGACGAATTTCTTTTCTCTTGAGTAAATAATTTGTTCAGTTTTTTTAAAATATTTGCAGCACTCGTGAACTCATTATGACTAAATATGTATTTATTAATGATCCACAGATAACTGTGACTGATCATCACGTCCGTCGGTAATAAGTTTTGAAAAATGATTCCTCAAAAAAAATATATATACTTAAATAACTTAAATGTAGGAAAGATTTGGGGTAAATTGTAATACTAATCTTATCTACCAAGGCCCCTCGTCATACAATTTTAGTGGTTTTAAGCAAATTCCTATTAAAACTACACATATGATGGGCTCAACTGGGATACACTAGTTGTAAAATTTTACACTCGACGCAAAGCCGAGTATTTTTTATAGGTTTCTCTTAAGAACGCCAATACCCTATTTATTAACAGGTTCACTATATGGGCGATTTCACATAATCTTAATCCTTATTAGGTAATAAAATATATAGGTAAAACTGTATTGTACATTTATTAGTACTATTGGGGATACTTTATTGGCAGTTAATAATTTTTTCCAGACTACCACAGTCACTCTCAAGGCAACGCTAATATGCCCTTAAACATCTTGACGCAATTCAAAAATTGTACTTATAAACATTGGACATTACAGATGGGATTTTGAGGCTTAAAAAATTGCATCATCAATAAACAAATGTCTAAAAGGAATGTACAAAAAAAATTGTTTTATACAATTTCTACAAAATGTTTAAAAAATGCAATATTTCTTTCAAATATATTTGTTTTTAAAAAATTTGATAAAAACAAAACTCGGTTAAACTGATCTGGCTGTTTAACTTCGAACAAAAATGTAGGTCAATGTTTAACCAAGCATTATGATTGATTTATCAACCCCCTAGGGCCCTATATCTATATATGTGTCTGTTTGTATTATTTGTTTAAGTAAAAAATAAAAACAATAATTTTAATACAAAAACATAATGTTATTTAATTAAATTTATTCTGTTTAAAAAAATTTTAATGATTAGTATTTATTTTTCTAAAGATGTTTTTGTGTAAGTGGATAATTTCATAATTTCAATTATTATATTTTATTTAAAAACAATTTTTATTCAACAATAATTATTTTTAATAGGAGGTGATTTTGTGTAAGTGGATTTTTTTTTCACACTTAAAACAGTGAAATTCTAACAATTAAGATTTTAATTTTTTTTTTAACTATTACATATATGTAAAACCAGTACGAAATCATGAGTAAATTCAACAATTATAATTATTCAAAATAATTTTTTAATAAAATCACTCTTAATTTACATAAAAGAAATTATACATTGTTAATCTTCGTGAGATACTCTGACTACAATGTTTTAATTGTTATGAAGTGTGTGTTCAGTATTTAATAACACTTAGTCAGGTTTCATAAAATGTATAAGAGAACCAGAACACGCATACATTTCACTTGCTTTCTTATAACTACATTATTATTCAATCAGTACAATATTTTTCACAATAATTTTATGGAACAAAAAAAAATGAATAATTTTAAAAAACGTGCCATAATACCTCATATTTTTAGTTAGTTGTTTAAAAAAAATTCTTTTCTGATTTTGAAATTTTGTTTGTAGTAAGTAGTAGTAGTTAGTAGTTTGTAGAAGTACAATAATATGTATAAAGTATTCTTTGGTAGTTTCAAGTGATTCTAATTTCTAACTAGGTACCACTATTGACGATTAATTTAAGTAAAATAGCGCCATCAAATTAATTTTAGAGCTTAGTTAGGATTTTTTTAAAGAATGGAGTCGAATATGTTTTCAAACCCAATACAAATTGTGTATAATACACATATATATATATATATATATATAACCAATTATTATAGTAGTATTTAAAAAAGTATGTGTTTTACTTATTTGTTTTTTTTTATTGTAAATCACATTGTTTTTTTAATTATCGTTACGTAACTCATAAAGTTAGAAAGCTATCGGTTATACCTATAACAATACTAAAATTGTTCAATTCAATAATATTGGTCCATTCGTTAATGAGATACGTGGTTATATATTATTAATATTTTTAATACAATTATTATTTATATATTTTTTAATGACAAATTTACAAATTGCCTAATAACAGTTTAATTAGTAAGGAATTAGTAAGTAAGTATTTTAGTAAGTATAGTTAGTTTTTTTGCCATAGTAAACGTTCTGTCTTGGGCGCACACAAAGCAAAGTGCAAACACACTTTGGGAGATTTACACTTACCCTGGCGGACAATTTGAATGCAAATTATCATATTTATTATTTAAAAAAAAAACTAAAGGTTACAAAATGTGCTATTGACTTACACGGGCAAAAAAATGCCCACATCAGTCATGGCCTAAATCAGTCGATTTTCTTATGATAAATTGTTGTAAAATGTTTTTTTCACTATTCCGACTGGACACGACCCATTAATTGAACACCTATTTTTTTAACGTGCAATCTACAGCCTGGTAGTATATTATACCTGAGTAAATTAACATATTATTATTATGGTGATTAACAAAAAAAAAAGTATATATTTGTGTCCGATTACACGTCACGGGTATAGAGGTAGGTAAAATAAATCATTGACGGCTGCAACAGCAGAACGCGATGGTTTTTCTTTTCTTGTATGCGTTTCTCGATTTTTTAATAGAACAAGGTCTCTTCAATCAATGTTTGTGCCCCTTACATTGACTTGTGCATACATTATAACGTGTACCGTTTTCTATTACAGTAATAACAATAATAATAATGATATCGGTAATCGAATTCGGAAAATCCGTGGCCAAGAAGTTAATTATCTGTGCTCGGCTCGCGCGCACAATAAGATACCTATATGTCTTTGACCGGCTGATAATGAGCAATAAAACGGTGAAGAAAATCGGCGACCTTAAACACACACATTCACACTAGTATGAGTAGGTAAATAATACACGTTATAAACAAAGCGGTTACTCAATATTGGGAATTTTGTTTAGCTATGGCCAATGATTTTAATCGCATTAAGTGTCGCCCGCACGACATTCTTGACTAATTTACTGTGTACCCGTTTGTCTCGGTTGACACGAATAAACAAACGCGAAACGACCGTCTTACTTCTTAGACAAACAAAAACTTACATCCGAAAGCGCGCCGATGACGTCCATTTTTAAAGCACAATAATTATTATATCGATGTACAAAACTTATACTCAAATTATTCCTTATTATAGCGGAACGAATACTAATAGCTTTGAACTGTTTTTTTTTTTTTTTTAACAAAACATTTATTAAGATCTTTGAAAAACCTACAATAACACTTGACGTCTTCGTTAGACAAATTAAACTCTAAACTAACTAAGAAAAAAATAGCGTGTTGTGCAAACACTCGAAAGTAAAAAATTAGATAAAATTAATTTTAAAGTCAAAGAGGCTTACGTTGAAGTTCGGCAAGTTTAAACACAAGTAAAGTCGGTATAAACGTTTGCGATTTGTCAAAAAGTTCCTGTCGCCAGTACCGCCACAGACAACGACATAGAGTTTATTTGTATGCCGTTCCATCTATGTGATTTCATTTACTATTTGATTTATTTATTTTTTTTAAGTAATCAACATTAATAATAATAACGTTGAACGTGTATTTTATTTCCTATAGGTATTCGTATTTATTCATTATTAT